GAACCAGAGCTCCCCCGAAAGGTACCACAGCCATCCTCAGCAACAGTGAGGTCCCAAGCTCCTCTGATGAGGAGGAAAGCCGAGTTCCCATCAGGAAAGCCAACACGACGAGCTTCTCCAGGAGGCCGGCAGTGCACCATTTTCCCCTCCGGAGCTAGGAAGCGATGCTCAAAGTAAGGACCAGAGCTCCCCCAAAATGAACCATGGTCATCCTAAGTGACAGTAAGGTCCCAAGTTCCAACAATGAGGAGAACAAGTTCATCAGGAAAGCCAGCCTGACAAGCTCCTCCAGCCCAAGGGAAGCAGCACCTCCCTAAGAACTTCTCAACAGCTTCTTTTTGTCTTTTTGAGACAGGGTCTTACTATACAGTTCAAGCTGGACTTGAGCTCACTTTGTAGCCTGGGCTGGTCTTGAACTCACAATGATCCTCCTGCTTCAGCCTCCCGAGTGCTGGGATTTCAGGCGTGCGCCACCACACCCGGCTCCTAACAGCTTCTAAACTTCTTCCTCTCTAGTTCTTCCTCTTACGCTGCCGGCAGCAATCCTCAGGTAGACTCCCACACCCAGGGTCACGCTGGTTCAGTTCACCTGGGTGCTACAAGTTGACCACCAATTGTCAATCCACTGCACTAGGCAAATACTGCATCACTGAGCTACGTCCCCAACGCTTTTTTTTTTCTCTTTTCACTTTTTTATTTTGATATGAGGCCTTGCTAAATTGTCCGGGTTGGCTTTGAAATTGTGATTCTCCTGCCTCAGCCTTCCCACTTGTTGGAACTACATGTATGCACCCCCACACCTGCCTTACTCTCCTTTCTATAGCCGTAAAAGTGATCCATATCTGACCAAAATTCACTCAGTAATGTTAAAATGTAAACTATTTGTCACGTGGGTTATTTGGAATCCAATTATTTGTTTCCCGAAATTCTCCTTTCAAAATATCCCACTGCACATATGCTACCTTTACAAAAGGTCTTTTGACTCTACCTTTTATACCAGCCACCTTCTATCCGCCCCCGCCCCCGTACCAGGAATCGAACTCACGGCCTCACGCTTGCCAGGCAGGCGCTGTGCCGCTGAGCTAAACCCCCAGCCCCTAGCCACCTTCTATTTTTCTTCCCCATTTATACCAAACCTACAGGAGGCTGCCAGTGCATGCGGGCTTCTGTCCCTTCCCTGCCTCACAATCCCAGTGAGGTCAGTTTTGGGCCCCAGCAACTGAGCAAGAGCTCAGCCAGGATGCTGGCGACCTCAGCCTCCTCTGTCTCGACTTACTGGGCCCGCAGACACGGCTGCTCCTGCCCTAGAGCGCTGTCCTCGGGTGCAGGAACCCCCTCTCCAGGCCTCTTTCTTACCAGCGCCCGACCCCACCCCACCGGCCTGGTTTCCCACAGCTCCACAGCCCCGATGTCCCCCTGCAGCCCTTCCAACAACCTGTGCCTGTCCCCCAGTGACCCTGGCCAGGCACGCTTTTATCTCCCGTCTAATTGCTGACAGGTCCCAAATGCACTGGGGTTTCTCCAGCGAGATCTCTTCTGAATTCCTGACTCATATTCCCTACAGTCTACTTGGCATCTCTGCCTGGATTTCAAACAGGAATCTCAAACACATCCTGACCAAAAATACACTACTGATAGTTCCCCCATCCCACCCCCATGAAATCCCGCTTGCTGCCGCTGTTTAGCTGTTTATCTTGCGTTTAGTTTAAGACTTGGTTTTCAAGGGTTGCATATTTGGGGGAGGGTCTCGCTATGTAGCCCAGGCTGGCCTTGAACTGGCAGCAATCCTCCTGCCTCAGCCTCCTGAGTGCTTGGATTATAGCTGCACAATTTGCCCTCTTTTTAGTTTTTTGGAGGGACTGTTGTTATTGTCATTGTTGTTTTGAGACAGGGTCTCTCTATGTAATTCAGACTGACCTCGAACACCCTATGTAGCCCAAGCTAGCCTCAAACTCTCAGAGATCTTCCTGCCCCAGCCTCTTGAGTGTTGGGATTACAGGAGTGCACCACCACGACTAGCTTTAAATTTTTACTTTTAGATTGGGTCTGGCTATGTCATTAAATAGCTCAGGCTGGGCTCCAATTCCTGATTCTCCTGCCTCAGCCTACCAGAGTGCTGGGATCACAGGCACTTGCCACCACACCTGCCTTTTATCAAATTTCTCTTCACTGTTTGAGGATCACTGCTGTGTGCATTTCCTGTGGCTTCTTAACAAACATCACAAACCGCTGGCGCAGCACAAGAGACGTTTATCATCTCTGGGTGACAGAGGCTGACAGTCTGTACTCAAGGTGTGCACAGACCCCGCTCCCTATGGAGGCTCAAAGGGGGGACACTTCTTGCCTCTTCCTGCTTCTGGCGGCCCCAGGAGCTGCCCCACTGGCGGCAGTTTTGCGCCAACCTGTCACAAGACCACCTTCCCTCAGCGTCTGTGTCTCTTCCTGTAAGGTCCCCGTTGTACTGGCCCTGCCCCTGGTGACATCGTCTTAATTCCTCTGCAGCAGCCTGACGTCCAGGTAAGACCCCGTTCCCTCCTCCTCTTGCTAAACCACTGCACTCCTCTGACTTTGAGCCCCTTCCACCGGATGTAACAGATACACTCCTTTTGGCTTATGCCACAATTAAAATGAGTCCAGTTCCTTTGCAGTCTTCCCTCATTAAATGTTTGAAAACAGCTGGGCATGGTGGTGCACACCTGTAATCCCAGCACCTGGGAGGCTGAAGCAGGAAGATCACCTCAAGTTCAAGGCCAGCTTGGGCTACATACTGAGTAGGAGGCCAGCCTAAACTACACAGCGAGATCCTGCCTCAAGAAAAAACAAAATATTTTGTTTTAAAAGAAAATAATGAAACTTTTCTATCTCCTTTAGTGAGGTGAGCCTTTTTCCCATGCAAAGTAATTTCACAAGTGTCCTTTTCATAAAAGTAAAACACAGCAGAGGTTTTAAACTTTTAACACGTGAGAGGAAAAAAGGTTTTGTATGTTATCTCTGGGAACTGAAAAAAAATATGTTGCAACTACAAATCCAATGTCTTTGAACTTGGAAATGCTCATAGAGAGTTAACAAAAATTCCATGATATCAGACAGATTAAGTTTCAAATAACGGCCACCACCCTGGCACATGGCTGTTGGAGCTCCTCTCCCAAGGGATGATGGTAATTAATTGAACCAATTATATCTCCCTGGGAATTTAGATGAAAGACCTGGAGTTCTTTTTTTTTTTTTTTTTTGGCTTTTTTCCGGTACTAGGAATCGAACTCACGACCTTGTGCTTGCCAGGCAGGCGCTGTGCCGCTGAGCTAAGTCCCCAGCCCCCATGACCTGGAGTTCTTAGCTCAGTAGGAAAAGGGAAGAAGAAGAACATCCAGTGCAGTGTCAAACACCTGTAATTCCAACACTCAGGAGGCTGAGGCAGGAGGATCAACATGAGTTCAAGGCCAGCCTGAACTACATGGTGAGACTGTGTCTCAAAAAACAAAAACAAGAAAACGTGGAAGAACAGATAGGAGAAAGGCTGTAAGTAGAGGCCACAGGACAGAGCAACCCTGATGTAGCAGAACCCTTGGTGATGTTGACCTTCCAGCTGCTTAAATGGTGAAGGAGTCACCTCAACCAGCAGAGGTACTTTAGATACAAAAGCAAGTCTCTATCGCTCTATTTTTTTCCTGAAACGAGTCTTACTATGTAGTTCAGGCTGGCCTCAAACTCATGGTGATCCTCCTGTCTCAGCCTCCTGAGTGTTGGGATTGCTGGGGATATAGCTCAGTAGCACAGCGCTTGCCTGGCAAGCACAAGGTCCTGAGTTCAATTCCAGGTGCCAAAAAAATAAAAACAAAAACAAGAAAACCTGAGCGCTGGGAGTACAGGGAGGTACCAGGAAGCTTCTGTTCTATTTTTTTCTTAAAGTAACATCCCCTAAACTGATTTTATAATCCACCAAGAAGATAGTGCTATTAGTTCAGTAACTATTGAGGAAGTGGGCATTCAAATCCACAAAATAGGCATAACATTTTCTCGGGTGGGGGGGGCGGGTCTCACTATGTATTCCAGGCTGGCCTCGAACCTGCGGCAATTGTCCTGCTTCAGTTTCCTGAGTGCTGTAATAACAGGCGTACCCCCCCATGCCCGGCCCAAATCCTTTTGCCTTTTTGAGCAGGGTTTCACTGTGCAGTTCAGGCTGGCCTTGAACTCACTTTGTAGCCCAGGCGGGCCTCGAACTCACAGCGATCATCCTGCCTCAGCCTCCAGAGTGCTGGGGTTACAGGCGTGCGCCACCACGCCCGGCTATTTTTTATTTTAAAGAGAAAAAAAAACCCACAAAATTTCAAAACAAGATAATAGGGGGGTAACAATGGTGAATACATTGCGTATTGTTTTCTTTAAATTAGCTGGTCCAAGTACAAGATATGGCCGGCCCAAATTCTTGGCATTTTAAATTGACGCTGATTCCATTCTTCCCACGGCCCTTCAGCCATGGATGACGCTTAGTCACCACATACATCAAGCCCAGACTGACTAATGCTAAGACAGCAGGACCGTAATTAAAAAAAAATAACAAAAGGCCAGAAGGCGGTCCCAGCCAACCCACAGCACGCACACAACCGCCACGCGCCTCGCGCCTTTTAAGGGCTCCTAGGGCGCGAATCCGCCAACCGCTCGGCGTCCCGCCAATCATCGCGCCTTTCGCTGTTTGCCCCGCCCCGCACCCAGCTCTGACCAATCACTGGGCAGTTATCGCCGCCTCTCCCGCCCGCCCCACCTGGACTGCTAGAGGCCCTCCAACCTAGCTGGCGCCCAGCGGCGCTATTGCAGCCGGCATATATTTTTAGCTCCCCAAGCAAGCCGCCGACTCCTGGCCCCGCCTCCTCGTCGCACCCAATGGGAGACGGAGTTTCCGCTGTGTCACCGCGCGGGCAGGTGAGAACTGTCCAATCAGCGCTCGGGGAGAACTGGCGTCATTAGAAAGCGGCGGAAGCAGGTGGGAGGGTCATGACGCAGCGAGTTTCTGTCGTGACTTTTCCGGGGGCAACTCGGCGTCCCCTCTTTTTTCCTTTAAAGTAAAACGTGTCCTCGACGCACCCCCGTCCCTGCC